ACAATTGCAAATACATGTATTTAAAAAAAAAAACACTGCATACAGTACATAATGAAATGAGTTCAAACCAACTTCAACTGCCTGAACTGTGTATTATAGTCAGTACATTATTCATTATTATTATTATTGTTAGTATTAATATAATCATTATTATTATCATCATTATTATCATCATTATTATTACCATCATTATTATTATTATTACTATCATCATTATTATTATTATTATACAGGATTTATATAGCACCAACAGTTTGTGCTGCGGTTTACAAAATAAAGAGAGACAGTACATTCAATACGCTGAGCGGAATTCGGCTCTGCTAATCTGCTTGGTACCTCCGAGGTACCGAGCAGAATAGAAAACAAGTAAAAAGAATTTTTGAAAAGTTAAAAAAGAATTTTTAAAATGTAAAAAAAAAGGAAAAATCTTTTTTTCTTAAAGAAAAGCAAATAACTATTTTTTTTTAAACGGCCACGGACTCCCGCCGCATAATGAAGCATCTGACAGATAACGGCAAAAGAAAAACAATTGAGCGTAGCTAGCGGTGACAGCTAGCTCCACCCAACTGTTTCCTATTGGTCGGCACCTGCTAGAGTCTTCTAGCAATGAATAACAACTGGGTGGATGTCACTGCGGGCTCCGCCCAGTTGTTATTGTTTAATGACAGATCAGCATCCCCAGGTCATTTGGGGACTCTGATCTGACATTACAACTGGGCGGAGCCAGCTGTGAGATCATGGCTGGCTCCGTCCAGCTGTCACTTGCGTGGAGATCGGTCAGCTTTGGCTGACCTTTCTCCACGCTTCGGTTGTCTCTTCGGCTGAGTCGAGCCAAAGCATATGCCTTCGTTCTGGTTGAGCGCTCAGCTGCCTTCGGCTGCTGTACGGGCTATTGTGAATAGCCCATACAGCAGCACTTCGGTTCGACCGGACTGAAGGGCAGAGGCGGCTGAAGAGAGCCGAAGGATCAGACGAAGCTTCAGCTGGATCCTTCGGCTCTTTAGTGAATAACCCCCATAGAGTGGATGGGTAGGTAGGATTTTTTTTAGTTCAATACATTTTATTAAAGTTTTTCCAAACAGGGTAAGGACAATAACAGATTGTATATAAAGAAACAAAGTTCCCATGCAACAGTTCATATTTAAGTCCATAGGACATATAGAGTACAGGAAACCTAATCCAATAGTTTAAATTTAAGCATAATGGGGGGGGGGGGGGTCACACACACACATTTGGCAAAATAAAAAGAGGGGAAGGGGAGACAACTAGTCAGTTCAAGGTGCTAAGGAGTAACTCGAGAAATCAGCAGTGTCAATCCAGGGGGTAGGTAGGATTTTGAAGCAAGTCAAAAGCACTTAAAAATTTAAGCAGTCATTTTAAACATGTATTTATGTATTTAAAACATTATTTAAAAATGTATTTTCATGTTATGTCAATAGGAACATGTAACAAATTTAAAGTAGGCGTTATGCCAATCTGGCTAAAAGGTGGAAATACACTTGAAATCGCCCTTCGGCTCCAGTTTAGGAATGTTAAACACAGACCAAAGCTGCTAGCAGGCTCCAGCAGACTTTCCGTAGGCTTCAGGGCCACTTGAAACTTGTAGGGCTGCTCACCCCTCTATTATGATCAGTCTTTAACATCTCTAAATTGGAGCTAAAGGTTGCTTGAAAACTTTCCAAATGCTTTTGTACAGTTTAGGTTAAAGCGTAAATAATTCTAATAAGAACTTCAGCTTGCAATAGCAATGCCAGGATCGCTGGCACCACTACAGTAATGACTGGTTACTGCTGTCACAGCCAATAACATAGGCACAATTGGTAGAGATTTCACCTATACAGGTTAACCTACCAAAGTGCCTTTCTGGGCCTAGCTTAAGTTCTTATTAGATCTTAAGATGCTATTTACGTTTCAACCTAAACTCAATCCATATACACTGGGGGGAGTTTATCAAAACTGAAGCAAGCAGAATCTGGAGCAGTTGCCAATAGTAACCAATCAGCTTCTCTCTTCAGTTTGTTCAATTTAACTTTGAAAATGAAAGAGAGAAGCTGATTGGTTGCCATGCACAGCTGCTCCAGATTTTGTCTGCTCCAGTTGTGATACATTCCCCCCATTGTTTCCTCTTGCAAGGTCTGATGAGCGGGATGTCTTTGGACCCTAGGAATGCACTAGCTTCCTCTTTTTGATTTCCTCTCTGACCCTATACTGGAATAAAGATGTATCTGGACTATTAATCAGTATTGTGGGGCTTCAGTCTTATACCTGATGTTTTATATCTGACAGTGGTTCTCTATTGTAACTACATCATAAAAGGTTTGGCTATAGATTAGGGTTGCCACCTGTCAAGGATTCACCCGGCCAGCCCGGGTTTTCAATGCTGTGTCCGGGTTTCATGGCAGCCGAAACCCGGACACATGATGTCAGGGAGACAGGGGCAACCAAAATTAAGATAGGGGCTACTGGCCCCCCACTGAAAATAGTCTCAAAGGTGATATTTACGACTCATTCTCCCAAAAAAATGTCGTTAGAGTGTTCAGGTTGTGCTTGAAGAAAAGGTGGCAACTGTACTTTAGATACACTTTAAAGAAGAACTGCAAGGGTTAAGTGCTCATTTTTGTCTAGGTGCTAAAAAAAAAAAAAGTTATACTCAACAGACCATCTGAGCCAGCTCCCTGCTTCTGTGATCACTATAACGTTTCTCCTCCTACACTGCACGTCTCTACATAATGCATAGAGCGTGATGACTCCAGGATCCTTAGACCTCTGCAGCAGAGGGGGAGAGACGTTCTAGAGAAGAAGCCACCTTGGATGGTCTAGTGAGTATAACTTATAGGGTTAATGCAATGTTTATTATATGGGGTTGAATTAAAAAAAATTATATTCTCAGGCTACTGCAGCTGAGACTAGTACAGCTAAATAAACGGCAGCAATTTTGCATGAACATAATTGTAGTCTGCATTGTACAACATTATATATATATATGTATATTTTATGCCTAGCACAGCCAAAGCCAATGGAAACCTCATTACTAAAGATCTTCATCACGTTTAGTGCTATACTTGATAAAAGTTGGAATAATAGTCCAGTTTAGTAACTATCTGGCAGGTTTTATACAAAGCACTGAGTACACATATTCGATCTGTTCTGACTGAATTGTACGGTGAATCTTCCCCCTAAAAAACGTTGCTAACCAGTATAACGAGCAGTAACCTAGAAGTACCTGCACATATCTGCAGCAGCCATTAGTGCATCACTACGACTGAATTACTGACAGTATTAATTTTGGCAGTTTCATCGGTTCCTGGTAGTGTCAGAGCTTGCTCACCCTTATTTGCCTTATCTAGATTCCTATTGGCCAGTGAGACTGACCTGAATATTGATCAGTCAATAAGAGTGTTTATTGACCAGAATTGACCAAGACTGTCACTGATCTATACCTATAGTTTCCAACGTTACAAGATAAAATATCACCAAATATAGCAATTAATCTATGTTAATTAAATGTTAAGTAGACATAAAAAATAAGAATAATTACATTATGTGAATTACATTATTATATCATTATATTAATAGGTATAAGATAAAATATTCCTAAATATTGCAATTAATCTATGTTAATTAAATGTTAACTAGACATAAAAATTAAGAATAATTACGTTATATTAATTAAATTATTATATAATTAAGTTAATAAGTATAATGTTTGCAGAAATCATTATTTCGTTTTTATAGTTTTATGTTTATATTTAGCTTAGTTTTTATATTTATTTGTGCTTAATGGATATAGTAATTTTATTCCTGAAGGTGTATTGAAAAGCGTGTAGCAATTTTAAATTTGTAATTTTAAAATAATTTTGAAAACATCCATAAGGATGGATTCTATAATATTATGAGCTTTATTGCACAATACTAATATACACTTTCAAAAGGGTAACACTAGTAAACAATGACTAGCATAGCATTTCTTTAACCAGAATGTATGACTGTAAAATAAAAACAAAAAATAAAGAGAAATAAAAAGAAGCACAAGATTAATTATACTATAAAACTGAAATTCAAAGCTGTCAAATAATTTGCCTCAAATATAAATGATATGCCTCACTCTATAATATGTACGGCATAAAAAAAATGATTTCACCTATACAAATCCACGTCTTTTCATATACAAGCTGCCAAAACAAAATCATATCTAAAATATTTTCAGATAGAAGAGTTACATTTTTAATCAACACGCTGAAAAATCCACGTGAAAGATAACACTAAAATAGCTCAATTAATCATTATAAAGTTCAACATTTGGATATTCAAAGTAAGCTTTCTTTCATCTATCATTATCGTTATATAAACTATTTATTCTAGACTGTAAAGTCTTTTATTTAAGTGTTCACCGCTATATAATGTTTGTGCTTTTGAAATCCTGTACAGTAAAATAATACTAAAATCTATTGTTTGACATTGTTAATGAAGGGAAAGGTGTGTATGATTATTCAACTTTCAAATATATAAGGCTGGAAGCACTGTTTATATAGAAAGAATATAAGTATGGGGATGATTGTTTACAGTGTCTAGGATATGTCGTTTTTAATGTAAAGCACAGCGCTATATTTTTATATTTCCAGTTTTACGTTAGTAGTATATTACTACTACTGTTTTTTTTCTATATTGCATTGGTCTGTGGATTTATAGAGTATGTCTTTACTATATTTGTGAACAGGAAAAGCACTTTGAAAACTGTCTCCTATCTCCCTACTTGGCTTTTAAGACCCCTAGCATTATTAAATTATCAAGCTTCCCTCCAGTCAGTTACTGATTTAAAAAAAAAAAAAAACAGCAGTTATTTATTTTTTGGCTATCTGGTTCTTAAGACTTCCTGAATGTGGACTGGGATGACAGATCCCATAACTGTATAATAAATCATAAAAATAGTTTATGGTACATGTTCTCATACTGCTATAATTGTTTCTCATGCAGAGCAAGAGTCCTGGACGAGAGGAGACATGGGGGAATGGGGCTTTCTGAGCTCGTTGTTAGATGCGGTCCAGGAGCACTCTCCCATGGTGGGAAGGTTCTGGCTGGTGGTGATGCTGATCTTTCGCATACTCATTCTGGCCACCGTGGGCAGTGACATGTTTGAAGATGAACAGGAGGAATTTGTATGTAACACTATGCAACCAGGCTGCCGTCAGGTTTGCTATGACCAGGCCTTCCCAATATCCCACTACCGCTTCTGGGTCTTTCATATTGTGCTGCTCTCTGCCCCAGCAGTATTGTTTGTCATTTATTCCATGCACCAGAATGCCAAGATGGGAAGAGATGCAGATGAAGAGGAGGCAGCACAACATGGGCAGCCGGGCAGGACCAGGTCCAAGTTAAGGGCTGAGCAGCGTGGACGTCACATACGCACCTTCTACATCGTCAATGTGGTGATGAGGATAATGGCGGAGGTGGGTTTTTTAGTGGGTCAGTGGCTCCTCTATGGGTTCAAAGTAGCTCCAGACTACCTCTGTGTACGTGAACCCTGCCCACATAAAGTGGACTGCTTTGTGTCCAGGCCAACAGAAAAGACCATTTTCCTGCAGTTTTACTTTGTGGTTGGGATCATCTCTGCGATTCTCAGCCTGTCTGAACTGCTACACATTCTGGTGAAGGGAAAGTGCCGGTCTAGGGAAGGACTGGGATCAAGTCCACCTCCAGCCTACGAGAGGGATAATTGGTCCAACAGAGAACATGAAAGGACCAATAACTTTCTTCTTAAAAGACAAAGTCCTGATGATCGGAGAGCTAGCGGGGCTGGTGGTCATCGACTTTCTATTGCATATCCTCCTGGCACGGCCTATAAACTAAAGGTAGCCCCTAGCTCAGCTATCAGTAGCAAGTCATCTAGACTGATCAAAGCTGACTTAACTGTATAAAGGGCTGGTGGACTGAACTATGAAAAGTGAGATTTGCAAGTGGACTGACCGATAAGACAGCCATGACAGATGATGGAAGGACATACATTCTTTCTGGGTGTTTTCTGCAATCAGTGGTCTTACAACCCCACTCTAAAAAAAAGTGCTGCAAAATTTGGTATAACCACTTCAGCCTTAAAGGAAGGGGCTGTCATAAATGCTATGCATAAGAGGACCTTCTGCAGACAATAAAATTGCCATGTGAAGTGGAGAAATCCACCACATGCCTTTCCATGAAAAGGATGTTCTGGTTATAGAAGTCTTTATTTCAGTAGAAGTCACTTGCCACAACCATTCTACAGCATTTCCTGATGGTGAAAACAATTATGTTTACGGAATGAATATCACATGATACACTTGATAGAATCTTGAATTGTTATTGTTATGTACAAACTTACAACTAGATAGAATTCTAGAGGTCAAGAGCATGAGTAGGAGTTCAGGTCAGTCCATGGCAGGATTAGGCCTTCAGGTCAGCCCATGGCAGGATTAGGCCTTCAGGTCAGCCCATGGCAAGATTGGGCCTTCAGGTCAGCCCATGGCAGGATTAGGCCTTCAGGTCAGCCCATGGCAGGATTAGGCCTTCAGGTTAGCCCATGGCAGGATTAGGCATTCAGGTCAGCCCATGGCAGGATTAGGAGCTCAAATCAGCCCATGGGAGGATGTCATACAAGTGGTAGATGTCAAACAAATAAGGGAACCATGGTTTTTGTTTATTGGTCTATAGAATTCAGAAAGATGGAGCGGTATGCTTAATTTTGTACAGTCCGCCAGGTGATAACTGTCAAAGTAACTAAAGGTATGGACATGGCTAGAATGGGCTTAGCACAGAGTCTGTTATATAATAAGGAAAGCTCATATTGTGAACCAATTCAAGTTCTTTGTCTTCTTTTCCCATATCCAAAACATTCATGAAAAATTAGACCAGCTCCTGAACTGTATAGAGGACCATGTCAGTCTTACAATGACCGCATGGAATGACAAATGGGGTTTATTCAGCATGTGATTGTTTCCTTTTAGCTAAAGAACATGGCTTTCTTCATAAGGTTTATGCCGTAATGTAGTTACTGTGACGGATGTGCAATATCAGGTGACTGAACTAAGTTACACTCACTAATCACTGTAGTAATTGCACTGTTGGTGTAATGGCTGGATCTTGGGTACACTAAATGGTAACTACATCAACAAATAAATGCTTACATAGTATAAATGAGATGTGTCTCCTCTAATTATGCCATTTTGTGACATCTTCAGGAAGCTCTAGAATTGTTATGCATTTTTAAGGGTTCACCAAAATCGGTAGGAAATCGCAAGTCAACGGAGGGTCCGTTGCCTTGCAGTTGTACCTTCCGATTTCCTTCCAATCAGTTGCAATCCATTTTTCAATGAATGCTAATGGAAGGGCACCAAAAAATGAATGGGGCTAGTTCACACCGGATCTGTTGTGTTACGATATGCTGAAAAAAGTAGTTCTGTAGTAGTAGTATGTTCTACTTTTTCAGCACAACATAACGCAATGGAACGGAGCGGTGTGAACTAGCCCCATTTACAGCCATTAATTTTTTGGTGCCCCATTAAAAAACATAGATAGTCCATGGTCCCATCGCACTCCTGACCACGCGAATCCCTTCAAGGATTGGGTGCTGCGGTAGTCAACGGGTGGCAGCTGTAACAATCGTGAGCTAAAGCAGAGACACTGGCACTCCAAATTTGCAAAATACGTCTATTTATTGACAGTGATGTATGTATGTATGTATGTTTTACCTGATGAAGGGGATCCTTTGTGACCCCGAAACGTTTGTTGTTTTTTACCACGATGCACGTCAATAAATAGACGTATTTTGCAAATTTGGAGTGCCGGTGTCTCTGCTTTAGCCCATTAAAAAACATATCACAACGCAACAGATCACAACGCAACGGGTCCAGTGTGAATTGGTATTTCTTTAGATGCAAGTAGAGTTAGTACCTGAATTTGACTTGTTATCAGCCTCTTGCAGTCCTTGTTTAGCAGAGCTGAAACTGGGGTAGGGAGAGGCAGCCCAAAGAGCCAATACAAGAAGCATACTGATAAGAGGGGAGAGAAGAGTGACAGAGAGAAGAGCTTATCAATGTGCCTCCTCTTCTTTCACAAGGTGGGGTTGAAAAGAAGACATATAAGTGACAATGGTGTAGTGGTTAATGCTTCTGCCTTGCAACTCTGGGGATCCCTGGTTCGAGTCTTGGACTGGTCACTATCTGCAAGGAGTTTGCATGGGTGTGTTTCCTCCCACACGCCAGAGACATGCTGGTAGGTTAGTTGGCTACTCTCTAAATTGGCCAGGCATGTGAGATAGGGACCTTACATTGTAAGCTCCTTCAGGGCAGGGACTGATGTGCATGTGCACTATGTTAAGCTCCACATAAATTGTTAATATAAAAATACCTGTAATAATAATAAAAAGATCAGGTTCCCTCCCTTGCCAGGCAAGACTGTGATGTGTAGCAGGACTGTGTAAATCTCAGGAATAGAGGGACACTCATGCAAGGTAAAACAGCTTCTATGTGTGTATTTGGTGATCTACCTGCAGTTTATCTTGAAAGGAAAAGTAGGCTCCTTTGGAAAATACTACTGCCTTGGCTATCATACCAATGCCATGGTTTCAATATTTCCTGCCCTGGAACAAGGTTATGGCATCACATTCTGAACACTGGTAAGTGTACACAATGCCTGCAGGTTGTTATATTGCAAGGCAGTGACCACAATGGCCACAAAGAATACCCTGCAAAGAAGAAAGTATATTCTTATCTTTCCCACTGACCACAGCTCCATTTTAAGAGGAATCTTCTGCTGAAGTCTTCAGCGAAAACTGGGAATGTCGATCTTCTGGCCCCCTCCCCTGCTGCATTCAGTGGTTCCTTCTGATGACCTTCATGTCATTACTGTGCCATGTAGTGATGGAGAGGTTAGAGGAAGGAACCTTTGAGGGCAGCAGGAGGTTCAGCAGAAGGACAATCCTACAAATGTTGATTGCTGCAAAAGACTTCAGCAAACAATTCCTCTTGAATAAAGTGGCATTTTGTGATGTTGGCAATGGGAGAGGTACCTAATATCTTTTTTTCCAGCTATCCTTTGAGGCTACAACAATCCAAAAGAACCATACCCACTCCAAAAGCCCACACTTCATATGTGCTTCCCACCACAGGTGCAGCCACTGCTCTCCTCACTGTCCACCAAACAATATGGAATAAATGGCGCACATAACCATTTAGACTAAAACTTGCAAACTGCCGCGTTTCGCTCACTAAGGGCTTAATCTCACAATTAAGCCCTTGTTGGGATAATTTACAACCCCAATTTAAAAAAAAGTTGGGGCACTGTGTAAAATCTAAATAAAAACAGAATGCAATGATTTGCAAATCTCATAAACTGAGAAAATTTACCATTTTAAGAAAAAAATAAGGTCATTTTGAAATTCATGGCAGCAACACGTCTCCAAAAAGTTGGGGCAGGGCCATGTTTCCCCTCTTCTTTTAACAACACTCTGTAAACATCTGGGAACTGCAGAGACAAGTTGCTGGAGTTTCAGGAGAGGAATATGGTTACATCCTTACCTGATAAAGGATTCTAACTGCACAATAGTCCTGGGTCTTCTTTGTTGTATTTTTCATTTGCGCCAAATATTTTCAATTGGTGAAAGGTCTGGACTGCAGGCAGGCCAGTTAAACACCTGGACTCTTCTACTACAAAGCCATGCTGTTGTCATTGGTGTAGTATGTGGTTCAGCACTGTTCTGCTGAAATATAAAAGGCCTTCCCTGAAAAAGAGGTCATCTGGATGGGAGCATATGCTGCTCTAAAACCTGGATATAGCTTTCAGCATTGATGGAGCCTTTCCAGATGTGCAAGCTGCCCATTTCATACACACTTATGCACCCTGTACCATCAGAGAGGCAGGCTTTTGAACTGAGCAAGCCGGAAGGACCCTCTCCTCTTTAGTTTGGAGGATGCGGCGTCCATGATTGCCAAAAGGAATGTCAAATTTTCGATTTGTCTGACCACAGGATCGTTTACCACTTTGCAACAGACCATTTTAAATGAGCTTTGGCCCAGAGAAGGTGGCGGCATTTCTGGATCATGTTCAGATATGCTTCTTTGCATGATAGAGCTTTAACTTGCCTTTTTGAATGGTACGGCGAGCTGTGTTCACAGACAGGGATTTTTTTGAAGTATCCCTGAGCCCATGCAGTGATGTCCATCACAGTATTATGCCTGGTTTTTATACAGTGCTGTCTGAGATCCCAAAGATCACGGGCATCTAGTATTGCGTTTCGGCCTTGTCCCTTACGCACAGAGATTTCTCCAGATTCTCAGAATCTTTTGATGATATTATGTACCGTAGCTGATGATATAGTTAAAATCTTTGCAATTTTACGTTGAGGAACATTATTGTGAAATTGTTTAACAATTGTAGACGCAGCTTTTCACAGACTGGTGAACCTCGGCCCATCTTTACTTCTGAGACATTGGGGGTGATTTACTAACCTAAACACACACACACACCAGGTGTGTGTGATTTTCACACAGCAAAATGTATTTATCAACCAAAAAGTCTCTAAAAGCATATTTCCACTAATGCCATATATGGAAAAATCATGCACATGATGCATATATAATGCTGCTTCACAGTTTAGACAAAAATGGTTAGCTCATGCATTTACATTCCTGCATTCATCAACGCAAGCAACATAACATAGAGCTAATTTACACCACATTACCTTGCAATTCATTGCAGGGCTTTGCACAACACACCTGCTGGGTGTGTACACACTACAAAGGTGTTTCGATTCCTCCCATAGATCATGCTGGGAGGGAACACACTACAGAGGTGTATACACGTTCGTGGTGTGTTTAAAAGGTTAGTAAATCAACCCCATTGACTCTCTGAGATGATCTTTTTATACCCAATCATGTTACTGACCTGT